TGGAAGGATGTGGTTGTAGTTTATGCCCAGAAACTGCTTTTTGCAACTGTAGAATCTTCAAATAGCAGAAGAATATCAGGAGTTATTTTAAGGGATTGGAACGTTTCCCTTTTCAAAGGGTGTCCATATTTCAGCAGTCTTAAGTCTGTCTGGAAACAATATTTTAGTAGCCATAGACCTCAAGAGATAAGTTTGGTTCTGCTTTGCTCAGTTAGTTCTTTAAAACATCAGTAAAGCAATAAAAACCCAAACATTTTCCCCTCCTCGCAAATTTTTTTAAAAAGTGTGTAGCTTACTGTCTTTTGTCTTCTATGATCTAAAATTGCTGAGCTGAGATACTTTTTACCAAGCCTTTACCAGTTTAATTGTAAAAACAGAATGAATTTGTATAAAAATGAATAGATAGGCAATAGGCTTTGTCTGAAATGTGTTTTATTAGTATTTTTTAACTGTATTCAGAAGTTGCACTGTCTAGACAGTCTTGATTTTCCTTTGCACAATAATAAGCCCCTTTATTCAACTTTGGAGAAAACATGTGATCATAAATCATTCTGATCCCTGCACGATCATCTTTCGTGGGTATTCACATCCTTGTCTAGTGATGTCACAAACACCATTTATACTACTTTGTACACTTGAGATGAAAATTTTGTGCACTTAGTAACTGGGATGTCCAAAGAAAGAGAACGATTGTGACATTTTAATGTAATATCTACTTAAAGCATTTGTCAATGAAAAGTGCATTGGTGTGCCCATGGTGAGGATATACGCAGAAGATAATACTGCACTCTAGGTTACAGAGCCAGTGAGACGTTTTTAATTGTAATTAAAAAATCCATGGATAAGTATTTTTTCCTAAAGCTTTGTTTTTGTCCATTATTGTAAAAAGAAATCTGGCATCCTAGGTTGTCTCTAAAATACTCAGGAAAATTCTTATGTTAGGGAAGAAACAACAGGTCAATTTGGCAAGAAATTTTTCTCTTTTTTTTTTTTTACTGAGGAATCATCATTAAACCAACCCCTTGTATTGAAGTAGTATTTTCTCTTAGGTCACACAGAATATGAACTATGACTTCTGATTTGTAAAAGATAATTTAAACCAGTGAATTAAAAGACAAGTTAATTTTTGGATATTAGAAACTGAAGAACTGTAAATTCTTAAAGATTAAAGACATGCATTGCAGAATAAATCTAAATTAATTTATATTATAAACAATTTTAATTATTAAGAACTTACTCTCTTTCTGATCAGATACCTTTTTTGATATTTAAGTGTTCACTGAAACCTTTAAGAATTAAAAACTAATCCAAAAAAGAGAGACTACTTCCCTCTTCATTTAGAAAAAAGTTGCTGTTTGTGGTACATTGATGATTTCTTTTTTTCATATATGATAAGAGCTAGAGTAGTAAACCTGATGAACTGATCAAGTGACAACATCAGTATTTACATAGAGGGCTGAAATGCAGAGGGGAGATCTGATCTGAAATTGTATGGGAGTCATCACTTATTACTCGTCACATATAGATGGTGGTTAAAGCTATAGGTCTGGTAAGATGACCATAGGGAAGAAATAGGGTGAAAAAAAGAGATGGTCTAAGACCAAGTGTTGAAGTGACTTCTACCATTTAAATGCTGGGGGGAAGAGGCTGAGAGAGTATGGTATTTCAAAAAATGTTTGAAGAAAGAGGGGTTTGTCAACAGTATCATGAGCTACTTTAGCTACTTTAGCCAGAGACTAAAAAATGTACATTAGATTTATTATATTTTGCAGCAGAGAAGTCTTTGAATGTCTTTAAACTATTTCAGTGTTGTAGCATGGTGAAGCCAGATCGGTGTGCATTGATAAATATACTGTATAGTATTTCAGCAAGTGTAGCTGGGCATTTGGAGGTGGGATGTGCAGTGAATAGCAAAAATATAACCATGATTAGAGGAGAAAGAATGATCAAGTTGAGGTAGAAATTTGAATATACACAGGAGAGTATCCACAGTGTAAAAATTCTTTTCTCTACTCCCTGCAAAGAAATTATGGCCATGGAAACCAGAGTTTCCTTTCATTCTTATATTTTTTTGTATTCTCAGAAAAAATGGTCAGTTACTCAGGTTTTCTCTCCCCAAGTTTCTCTTTTCATTTTTTTCTCATAGCTTCTCCCGCTAGCTCTTTATCCCTGGCCCCTCTCCTAAGTTCCAGCCATGAATTTTTTAATAGCCTGATAGAACTCTTTGTTTCATGGCTCCTCAAATTCAGTATGTCCAACTGAATTAATCGTTTTCTTTTCAGACTGACATAATTTACCAGGATCTCTATCTGTTTCATTGAGAAATCCTTCAAGTCACTGCGGGCCTACCTGTCTGGGTCTTGCATTGTTTCCCTTGCCGCCTCCTCTCTTCCTCACCCTGTTCTTGCTCCCAGTCTTAATCCCTGCTCTGTAGGTTCAGGTTCATAGTGCTACATTTTGAAAGATTATTTCCCCAAATATATTTAAATTAATTTGGTCCATCTCATTCAGTATGGCATTATCCAAAAAATCATTTATTTTTGACATTGTATTCATCATATGAAAAACAATAAAACAAACAAACAAATGAAAAAATAAACCATTGTTTCTCTAAAAATGGTAGATAGATAAAAGATTTTATTTATGTACCTTCTGTCACTGTAATATATAGTCCATAATTGTACATGTGAAATTCTTCTGGTAATAAGATTTGTATATTATAGTGTGTGTGCGTGTGTAGATAAAATGCCATACTCAACAGTTTCCTTATTTCTGAAACTAATGTATTTATAGAAACAAAATGTGTATTCCACATTGGTTTTCTGTTCTTTTGGAAATTAATATAATTATAAACCCAATTAACTTAAATTTATTGATTTAAATATAAATGACATAATTGATTTTAATTTTTGAATTGTATTTTAAAGATTAATTACACTTTTTAAAGTAGAACTATAATAACATGATAAGGAAGTTAAAAGTTTATTTGCATTCATCTTTGTTTTAAAATACATTATTCATGCAGAAAACCCTTACTTTGTGTTTTAAATATAGTTCATAGTATAGTGGAAAGTAGTATAATTATTGCTAGATCTTCAACTTTGAGGTAGAATTCTAATAAATACCCACAGCAAAAATTTTGAGATGCCATCTTGCTTCTGAATTATTAAAGACACCCACATTAGTACGTAGCTTTGGAGAAAGTAGCCTATTAGGTACACACATCTTTAGTTTTCTTTTAATAGAAATGGGAATAGAAAGTCTCTCTTTATTATCATAGGTATTGAATTTTCTTGTAATACTTGCAGGTTACATAATAATTTAAAGTGTTATTTTATAACTGAAGAGCATTAAATATCCTAGAGTGAAATCTAAGGAACTTCTGGCTATTTTAAAGTTAATTGAGTTAAGACATTTTTGTTCTTGTTTTATTTGAATAATGGAACAGTTGAGTCATCAGTTCTCTTTTGGGGGCCAGGCTTGGGGAACTCATCAGTAATGTCCTCCTGTCTAGAACATAAGCAACAATGGAGGTAAAGCCAAAGTGGGTGCTGAGCTACCAGGTCCCTGGTTACATTTTCCCTGTTTGTACATGTTTCCAACATGTTTAGCTGTTACTGGTTTATGTCAAATTCTAAGCGAGAAAGAAGGCTAAAAATAGGCAGATCCATTGACTGAAATGAGGAGTGACAGTCTGCAGTCTGATAGAGAAGAGGTGAGAAAGAGGACCAGATGTAGTCATTGCAACAAGCACTTCATGGCCTGGCATTTTCCTATGTGTATACCCAGGATAAATGAAAAACACATGTAGCTCAGTAGTGAAGAATCTGCCTGTCAATATAACAGATGCAGGTTCAATCCCTGGGTCAGGAAGATCCCCTGGAGAAGGAAATGGCAACCCACTCCAGTACCTTTGCCTGGGAAATCCCATGCACAGAGAAGCCTGGCAGGCTCTAGTCCATGGGGTTGCAAAAGAGTCAGACACAACTTAGTGACTAAACAACAGCAGGTCTTGGTTGACAGCACTTTGAAAAACCATCAGCAACAATGCATTAGAATCTCCTTGGCTAACAGAAGTCAAAGTAAAAAAAGGAAGTTTGTTTTATTACATACGTTTTACTCTGTTGTAACACAAAACTTACTTCAGGTCATTTCTATGAGAGAAATTATATTCAGAATTCCGTAGAGGGTGTAACCACTGAAAATGATTTTTTTAAAGGAACTATGGACAGGGAAAGAGAATGTAAAGAACAGATACTAAGAATTATAGAATCAGAGGTGAACCTTAAAAGCCTTAGAGGGAAACACTTGTGAAATGCACTCTGTCAACCAGTTCATGTATGAATCTGGGAAAAGTTAGGAGAGAGTGAAGAGCAGTGAATGAAGTGCTGAGTAAAGACAAGTCAGGAGTGAACCTTGGGGTCAGCAGAGAAAACTGCTCATTGATGACAGGAGTTTGGCAGGGTAAACACTGAAATCTCAGATATGGGTTGGATGCACTCAGGCAAGATGAAGTTGTAACTAGAAAGACAAGGTCTGAATTGACCCACCTGGCTATCCTACACTTAGCAAATAGTATTCTTTGTGTTCTCTGGATACCACCAAAATGTAATTAAAATTTAAAATTATTTAAATGGATTTGCTGTCACAATAAGATTTACAGATTTAAAACTCAGTGAGTAAGGTTTTCTTCCACTTTATTGATTTACATTTTCGATCCCTGGGTTGGGAAGATCCCCTGGAGAAGGGAAGGGCTACCCACTCCAGTATTCTGGCCTGGAGAATTCCATGGACTGTATAGTCCATGGGGTCACAAGGAGTCGGACACGACTGAGTGACTTTCACCTTGAGGTAAAATACTTAGGAACTCTTGGTTCTTGGAATTCTGTACTGTGCCCTCTTTAAACATGGTGAAGTGCGTTCAGTGATGTTTGTTTTATCAAGTGGTTTTACATGTTAAATAATTCTTAAGCATAATTCACATTTCCTCTTACGACCAGGAGCCTTTTGAGGATGGCTTTGCAAACGGAGAAGAAAGCACACCAACCAGAGAGGCTGTGGTCACGTACACTGCGGAGAGTAAAGGAGTCGTGAAGTTTGGCTGGATTAAGGGTGTACTAGTATGTACCTACAGACTTAATTTTAGAGTTACATATTTCTGTTTATTAGAAAATCTTCCTAGTATTATCATGAATTCACAAATAATGCTTTCTCTTCCTAAAACTGTTTTATCTGGTTTTTATGGAGGACCAAATTAATAACTTATACCTCCTTTTCTTCTGGGTATTAAATTGGGTAAAGGAAATATGCTTATTCATTTAATTGAATTATACTTGGTTACCTCTGAATTATATTTTATAACTTCTTATGAATCTCACACATTGTCACTTCTCAGAAATCAAGTATGAAGCTAGTTCATTGATGGGAGCAGCAGAATTAAGGAAACCGGGCAGGCAGCATAGCTGAAATATGCCTGCTTCCTTTCCTGCTACCAGATTGTCTTTTGGAGAGAAATGTGTAGAAGTTAAGCTGCAGAATATAGGAGAAATATTTATGTTGAGATCACTTCAGTAGACAGGTTTAGGTGATTAAGGTTCAGATTTACTTTTTTTTTTCCTGTGTTTGAATAGGCTCTAAGGATCTAACTAGAGTAGACAGTCTGATTGAGACTTTGGAAGCACTAAATTAGAGTTGTATTGACATTTAGGGGAATAGAAGGAAAATTCCAATTCTAGTCGTAGTTTTATTGTCTAATTGAGTGCATTTTATGCTCTGGGTTGTATTGTTTGCCTAGTCTTAGATTTTAGCATTTCAGAAGACTATATACTAGGTATGAACATAATAAATAAAAGTAAAAATAAGTTGGGGATACTGTCTTACAAACAGTTTTGGTTTCTGAAACATGTGTGAATAGTTAGCATTTGAGTTGACAAATATTAGAGTATTTAAGGCTACTTAGAGATTATGAAATGAGGATGTTATTAAAGAGTAAGTTAAAAATTAAACTTACTTGGATTGAAAAGGGGGGAACATACACTGCTCTTCTTTAGGACTGAAGTCTTAAAATACTCCTTGTATCTTTCTTGTTCATTTGCTTCTGCTGCTTCAGATAATTTGTGTGTGTGTAAAATATATATACACACACTCATATATTACATCATACTTATACTTTAATTAGCTCACATTGAAGCTCTTACTAAAGCTCTTTTTAAAAATATCTGTTAAAGAAAAGGTTCGGATAAGAGATTTGAAATGACTTTCTGTAGTTTTAAAAAGTATGTTATCCAGCTGTTGGCTAGTTGAGCATTTACTGTGTATTGTATTTAATTACTTTTCCTCTGTGACTTGGTTTTTTCTCTTCTAGGTTCGTTGTATGTTAAACATTTGGGGAGTGATGCTCTTTATTCGATTGTCATGGATTGTGGGTCAAGCTGGAATAGGTGAGTGAAGTTACATACTGTTGAGTCATTTGAGAATGAGTAGGCAAAGTAACAGTGCATGTGTAGGCTCTAAACTTCATAAAATTCAAGCAGTTGGAGTCATTCTAAGCTACATTCTCCTTTGTGTCAGACAGTTGTCTTAATGTCCCTTTTTCTAATTCTAGATTTGATCTAAAATGGGTTAAAAATAAGATAATTTGTAAGTTATAATGTTAATTCAGTATACTTAGACTCATCAGTTCTAGATGTGACGGGTTTAAATGAGACTAAAAGTATTCTCAAGTTTTCTTTTCTTTTTCCCTAAAGGTCTGTCAGTCATTGTAATAGCAATGGCCACTGTTGTGACAACTATCACAGGATTGTCTACATCAGCAATAGCTACTAATGGATTTGTACGAGGAGGTAAATTTAGTCTTTGCACATCATCATCATTGGGTTACTGACACTAAATAAACAGATTTTAAAATATTTCTATTTTTTTACCTTAAAAACAACATTTTGGGTTCTGTATAGGCAAGAAAGTTGCTGTTGAGCCCTTCTGAAGTAGATTTTGAATATAAAATTTTAAATTAATCCATACACAAACATGTATGCTTCAAATTGTTCAGGTGATCAGATGTCTGGTAGCAAGAGTGGAGCTTCTGGCTGGGTTTCTTCTCCGTCGAGGCTCCCTTTCTTACCTCCTCCCAGAATTTCACCCTTAGATTAGTGTTGTGCAGCCTGCGTTTGGTCAGTATTATGCAGGTGTCACCTCGTTCCTCCCCACTGAAGGAAATGCAGGCAGAGTTCTTTCCTCATGGTCTGACCACTTGTGTGAGTTAAACCTGGGGTTCTGAATCCATACCCTCAACTCCAGCTCTCTTCTGTGGGTACCCTGAGGCCTGTTGTATTGGAGCCCACAAGATCTGCCTCGTGAGGTTTTACTCTTCCCAGGAAGAATACCCAGGACAGCAGGAGAATGGCTCTGGGACCCCTGAGAACAAGAAGAAAAGAAATCCATTTTCCAAAGCAGAATTCATCATTCAGCTGGAGGGGAAGATGCTGAGAGAAAGAAGAGGTGTACCAGCTCCTATAAATTCATCATAGCAGATCAACTGAGAAAGGCATCTGCCTGTTCCCCATCTGCCTCAACTATTTTGCAGATCTGTATTTAACGTTACATGCATACAATTTCTGCTTTATCTGTATTAGTACTTGGAGAAAGAACCAGATTGAGCTTTTCATTTTTGCACAGTCATCTTCATATATCTTATATACCAGAGGATTCAGATCACTGTGGCCCTAGGGGAAGCTGGTAGCTCCTGTCAGTACAGTTATGACTGTGTGTTGGCTGTCTTATGTGCTCATGAAGTTGGGGTCTAAGATGTGGGTATGCCCAAGAGCTAATCAGGCGGTACTGAGAGGTTCTTGTGCTTGTGTACTGGGTTCCCCATGCTTCACTTCATTCTGCTACTATTAGGAGGTGGAAGTAGAAGGAGAAATTGATGCAGTGTTAGTTATTGAGAGGATCAGCAAATCATCATTGACTTTCTCCTTGTCTTCCGCCCTTCAAATCTAGGCTGTGAGACTCAAGGGGAGTGGGGCACAGACCCACTGTCAGCACAAACCCCAGACTGTTCTCTGTGTGAGTTCAGACTTCTGGGAAGTATAGATTTTCCTGCATTGTGACTAAAAAGCCACTTCATGCAGTACTACCAGTAGTTTTCATATATTTTTACAAATACTTCAGAGACTTGTATCTAATCTTCTGTTCTGGGACACAAACAACGTATGAGAATGTAGAGTGTGTGAACCTGTGTCCCAACAAAGTACCATGTTGCAGTTTTGTCTGAGTTCCCTCAAAATGTTAAGTCAGTTTACAGAGTAAACTAACTGTAGGGAAAAAAAAACAAAACATGGAATTATATAATTTGAAATTCTTCTATTACCACTTATTCTTAAATGACAAAGTAAATATGTTTGCTGAAATAATGAAACCTATGGGAAAAGAGAAGCCATTAATTTAAAGAAATGGCCAAATATTTTGAAGCTTTGCTAGAAGGCATTCATTTTTCATTTAGATCAGTCAGTGACGTTAGAAACCTAGCTGATCTTTTATAGAATATAAGTGAGCTGCATTATCTGCAGTGAAAGTTCCTGGAGATTCTTGCAATGAATGTAAACTCCTTCTCTCTCCTCTATATATGCTTCATAGACTTTGAGATCCCTAACAGAATTTATTTTGGTTTCTTGGTAAAACAGTATTTCCACATGGGAGTAAGTAGATATAGGTATAAAACTGGTGAGATTACATTTTATTCTGTAGTCATGATTCTAAATTAAAAATACCAGTATGAGTCATACAGTTTATCCCAAAAGAATGTATTTCTTAGCTCTCTCCACAAAAACCACCTGTCACAGATGGTCAGCCCAGTACTAATGAGCACCCCTAGTGCCCACATTGTGTATTTTCATTCAAAGGAACCAGGGAACCTTGGAGAAATGACTGATTCCATGTCTGGGTAGGAAATGTACTAGAGAAGTCTGGACATCTTTTCTCATCAGTAAGTGCAGAAGATAACAAAGGCTATTGTTTCATGTTGAAAGGACTGAGGAGCCAACCTGAAAAAGCTAACACTTAACTTTGGATAGTTTGAACAGGAGTACTACTACTAGTTATAACTGATTTAAATGAAAGCATAATATATATGATAAAATCCCTAGATTCACAGACATCACACAAACACACAAAGTCTCATTTTTGTACCTTTGTAGAATGCTAGAGAACTAACTTATTTTGAAAATTGATAAAGAATCTAGTTTGAATTTCATTTCTGAATGAAAATTTCCTTACCTCAACTCAGTATAAGAAATTGATAAGGGATGTATCCTTTAGGTAATTATTCTACAAAATAAGTGAAGAAAAAGAAATTGGAATATGCCAACTCTGTAAACCCTTTGCTTAATAAGAGCGCCTGTGAAGGACTGAATGTGAATCACCTTGTGCCTTTAGCTCCAGGAAGCATAGAATAGGCAGGGAAAAGAGGAACTTACAAATGAGACTATAGGATGACAGCAGCAAATGCCAGACTGGGAATTTCTCTGGAACAAGGAATCCTTGTTCAATAAAATTTTGCAGGGAGCAAAAAGATAGACAGGGGGTTATGGTTTAAAACAAACTTTCAGACTTGGTTCATGTATAGATGGAGTTATCTTTCAGTATTGTGGAGCCAGGGATGCCTACATTGAATGCCCTCTATCCCAATCACTGAGGACTTAATTTTTACTTCTTCCTTGAAAGGGCTGTGTAAGAGGAGATCAGGAGAGCTGGAACTATCTAGAAGGTCGAAGTGCAAAGACTTAGGTAGAGATACAATGGGAATAACAATATCTGCATTGGATGCCCTTTAGCCCAATCACTGAGGACTGAAAGTTGACCATTAAGGGAATTAACAAGAAAATATTTTACTCAAAATATTGCTGATTGTGGTTGCTCTGTTTAATAATTTAATTTTCTAGAGCCCTCTTTTAAACTTGAGCATGTTGTAATTAATATAAACTATTTTGAGGTAGTGTTTGACAGTTTAATTTGTTTTATCTTGATTCTTAACTTGTTTTAACTTGATTCTTAACAGTTTATTTTATCTTGATTCAGTTAACAGTGTTAAATGAATTATAATATTTTTCTATATTAATATTGAATAATATTTTATTCTTATTTTATAAAGTGTGTGCTTCCAGCTCCATGGAAGTGTGAAATGTGTTGTGTTCTTTATGCCATCAGTCAGTTCAGTTCAGTCACTCAGTCGTGTCTGACTCTTTGCGACCCCATGAATCGCAGCACACCAGGCCTCCCTGTCCATCACCAACTCCCAGAGTTTACTCAAAGTCATGTCCATCGAGTCGGTGATGCTATCCAGCCATCTCATCCTCTGTTGTCCCCTGCTCCTCCTGCCCCCAATCCCTCCCAGCATCAGGGTCTTTTCCAATGAGTCAACTCTTCACATGAGGTGGCCAAAGTACTGGAGTTTCAGCTTCAGCATCAGTCCTTCCAATGAACACCCAGGACTGATCTCCTTTAGGATGGACTGGTGGGATCTCCTTGCAGTCCAAGGGACTCTCAAGAGTCTTCTCCAACACCACAGTTCAAAAGCATCAATTCTTTGGCGCTCAGCTTTCTTCACAGTCCAACTGTCACATCCATACATGACCACTGGAAAAACCATAGCCTTGACTAGATAGACCTTTGTTGGCAAAGTAATGTCTCTGCTTCTTAATATGCTATCTAGGTTGATCATAACTTTCCTTCCAAGGAGTAAGCATCTTTTAATTTCATGGCTGCAGTCACCATCTGCGGTGATTTTGGAGCCCAAAAAAATAAAGTCTGACACTGTTTCCACTGTTTCCCCATCTATTTGCCATGAAGTGATGGGACCAGATGCCATGATCTTCGTTTTCTGAATGTTGAGCTTTAAGCCAACTTTTTCACTCTCCTCTTTCACTTTCATCAAGAGGCTTTTTAGTTCCTCTTCACTTTCTGCCATAAGGGTGGCATATCTGAGGTTATAGGTATTTCTCCCGGCAATCTTGATTCCAGCATGTGCTTCTTCCAGCCCAGCGTTTCTCATGATGTACTCTGCATATAAATCAAATAAGCAGGGTGACAATATACAGCCTTGACGTACTCCTTGTCCTATTTGGAACCAGTCTGTTGGTCCATGTCCAGTTCTAACTGTTGCTTCCTGATCTGCATATAGGTTTCTCAAGAGGCAGGTCAGGTGGTCTGGTATTCCCATCTCTTTCAGAATTTTCCAGAGTTTATTGTGATCCACACAGTCAAAGGCTTTGGCATAGTCAGTAAAGCAGAAATAGGTGTTTTTCTGGAACTCTCGTGCTTTCTTGATGATCCAGCGGATGTTGGCAATTTGATCTCTGGTTCCTCTGCCTTTTCTAAAACCAGCTTGAACATCTGGAAGTTCATGGTTCACGTATTGCCAAAGCCTGGCTTGGAGAATTCTGAGCATTACTAGCATATGAGATGAGTGCAATTGTGCAGTAGTTTGAGCATTCTTTGGGTTTGCCTTTCTTTGGGATTGGAATGAAAACTGACCTTTTCCAGTCCTGTGGCCACTGCTTTATGCCATAGGAGAGATTTAATTACTCTAAGTAGCCTTTACATTGACTTTAACAGTATATTTTAGAGATTAAACAGGTAGAATCTAGAGAAGTATAGTTTTTTTAAAAATAGAAATTAACTGTCAACCTGTAAAGAAGTGTTATAAAGCAGAGACATTACTTTGTCAACAAAGGTCCGTCTAGTCAAGGCTGTGGTTTTTCCAGTGGTCATGTATGGATGTGAGAGTTGGACTGTGAAGAAAGCTGAGCGCCGAAGAATTGATGCTTTTGAAATGTGATGTTGGAGA